GGCAGTGTCACTGGCCCTCATATGTGGGATCCGAACCGGGGCCCTCTGGCATCCCAAGCCAGCTCTTAACCATCGCGCCACTCGGCCGGCCCTGGTTCCCATTTTAAAGGCAGGGCCACTGAGGCATAGAGGAGACACCACCATTGAGGGCCAGTCGGAGTTAAACTGGCTCTTGAACTACAGTTGACCATTGAACAGTGTGTGGGGGGTTAAAGGCGCCAACCTCCCCCACAGTCAAAAGTCCTCATATAAGTAAGTTGGCCCTCTGCAGACTCAGCTGCAACCTCCCAGCAGACCCTTGAACAAGGCGGGTTTGAACTGCACGGGTCGAATGAAAATCGTGTATAAGTGGACCCGCAGCGCAGTTCCAGCCCGCCTTGTCCAAGCATCAGCTGTACCCTGTCTCGCCGCCTGCCTGCTCTGAGCTTGCCCTTTGGCCTTTCTCTGCCCACCTGCTCGAAGTAGCAAGAGCTGGCGGGCAGCGCGTGAAGCCGTGTTCCCAGGCCAGGTCTGCAGCTGCTAACTGTCACTGGGAACCAGCGTGGAACGTTCTGGAGCCCGGCTGCTTCCTCAGTGAAATGAGGAGACAGAATTGCATCTTTCCCAGACCTGGGGGCAGGGAAGGGGCAGCAACTCTGGCTTCTCCACGACGCAGGCGCCTGGGAAAGAGACCGATTTTGTCTGGAGTCTCCGGTTCCCCGTGACACGTCTCCAGAACCAGGCCTGGGGGTGCAGCTCCTTTCTTTAAAGTTCTGCCTCCTCCAAAAAGGACTTCAAATGGTCCATAATAAGGCCCCCGATAGTAACTCCCAGATCATCTGAGACAATGGAAGAGCCAAGGGTGGAGAAGTGCACGCTGGGGAGAAAGGGTCAGAACTTCCGTACGGTCCTCGTCTGTCTTCTAGCTGCATCTGATCGGTCCAGGAGGCCCAGCGGCCCCCTCGCCCCTCTCAGGCCTCTGCCTGTCTCTGAGCCGTGCTGTGGACACTGGCAGCTGGACTCCAACCAGCCTGAGCCCTCCCTGTTCTCCCTTCCCTAGCAGACGCCATCACACATCTGAGCCCATCTGCACATGTGATCGCAGGTGCTGGCACTGGCCATGGCTGGGAAGGGGGCTCTTCCAGCCCCCCGGCTTGTCACCCTCTGGGTCCTGAGCTCCTGCCAGCTTGCAGCATTGTCATGGGACAGGCAGCTCTGCACGCCAGGCTGGAGAGTTGGGGCTTTAGAGCATGCTCTTTCGTCTGCCAGCCATCACCTGCCACGTGGGCTGGGACCCACCTGAGAGGGGAAGGCTCCACACCCTGGCTGAGTNCAGAGGTTGAAACTCATTGCACAACTGGGTCAAGAAGTGCTGTAAACCCACCAGATGCAGGCGCTGGTCAGTTCCACTCTTACTGGGTGCCGGGCTGGTTGAAGTACTTGGCTCGGTTGGCACGCTGGACCCTGCCAGAGCCCCGCAAGCCAACTCACTGCCACACCCTGTGCCCCAGGCCGGCCTGTGTGTTACTGACCAGGCGCCTTCTCTGTCGACCACAGATCCCTCAGCCAAGCGGCCGGGCGTCGTCGGCAGCCTGAGAACGCCTGGATGGGAGCCTTGGGGACCACCCAGCCTTGCTCCTGGCTCACCCGCAAAATGTGGACAGCCCTTGTGCTCGTTTGCGTTTCCTCCTTGTCCTTCTCTGAAGGCCGAGCGACATCCCAGGATCCACGTAAGTGAGAAAGCTGGGTGACTAGTGGACAGGCCCGGTGGCCCCGGAGCCCCAGAGCTCCCCGGTGCTGGACTGGGAAGGGCTGCCAGGCTGAGCTTCTCCAGGGCCAGCGTGGGTGGGGAGCCCCCAATGGGACAGGCCTCTGAGCCCTGAGAGGACCACTCGCTTGGCCCTGCAAAACCTCCTTTCCTCTATGAACCCAGTCTTCAGTGGGGAGTTCATCCATTCATACCTCAGATGTTTACCTGCACTTCTACTGTGTGCCAGGCACTGTTCGTCTCCAGGGAGACCTGCAGCAAAGCCTTTTATAAAGCCAAGAATTCTTGTGCAGTTGGAATATCTGGGCAGCGGTTTATCTGCTTCGTAAAGCCGGGTGTGTGTCTGATGGGCTTTAATGGTGAATCACACCTGTAATGGGAGACTTTCACTCTGTCTGGTGTTTTGGGAATTGGATCAGAGAGTGAAACTCTTAAGCCTTCGATGGGCTTGGGGTTCCGAGAGGGCAAAAGGGCTTTAAAATCAAAGTGCCGATTGCTTCTGCGGTGGGCTGCAGGCCAGATGTGTGCCGCGAGATCAGAGGGCCGCCCTGCACACAGCCCCTCCCTTCACTCCCTAGGCCGAGAAGCCAGGCACAGCCAGGCCGCGTCTCAGAATAACCCACAGGGCTGAAAGTGATTGTGCGTTTTCTCCGTTTCTGACTTTAAGGGCACTTAGCCTTCAACCAGATACGAGATAACTTAGTCAAGAAAAGTGTACCCGAGGAAACAGCTGAAAGCACCTTGAGCAAAACGTCTGAAAAAATGACCACGATGACACTCTCTCCTGTCACATGGACCAAAAGGACTTCAGTAGACAACAGCTCTCTGGCCATCACAGCAGGAAAACACAGGACAGCTGTGAACACTTCAGCAGTTGTGGCACATCCCCCTGACCACACGACCTCTGGGGTGCCTGTGCCATTGGCCCCGATGTTGGCACCACCCTCTCTGTCTCCCACGGCTGCTCTGGGCACACCCGGGACACAGGCACCCAGTGGCAGCACGTCGACAAAAGCAGTGCCTCTGACGACACTGAACACAAGGGCTCAGCCAGCTGCTGCCACCATAGCAAATGCAAGCACCCCCACGGGCACGCAGAGCCCTTCCAAGCACACATCCAGCCACTCCACAGGCAGCCCCGCGCCCCTCACCCCCCGCCAAGCACTTAATGGGTCCACACCAGGCTCCACCACACAGGCGTTGACAACTGGGCCTGTGGCGGACACAAGCAGGCCCATAACCCCAGAGCCCACCTCTCCCTCCGTGGCTTCCGTGTCCACAACAGTGGTGACCACCACCAAGACACAAGCCAAGAGGCCAGCTTCTGTGCCTCCTTCTAGCCCGACCCCTGGGGTGGGGACCACATCCCCCACTCCGTGGCCAGGCACGCCCCAGACAACGGAGCAGGCCCCAGATGGAACTGCTTCCACCAGGCCAACGACCGGGAGCTCAGGGGACTCTAAGATGCCAGTCACGGACTCGTGCCAGCCCAGCACCCAAGGCCAGCACCTGGTGGTCACCACCAAGCCCCTTCCCCTGTCCCCAAACAGAAGTTCACTCCTGGCGGTGCTCTTGCTCGGGGTGACCCTTTTCTTCACAGTCTTGGTCCTGTTTGCCCTGCAAGCCTACGAGAGCTACAAGAAGAAGGACTACACGCAGGTGGACTATTTAATCAATGGCATGTATGCCGACTCTGAAATGTGAGGTGGCGGGAGGCTGGCCTGCGGCCCCAGCTGGACCCTTGGAGGGGTGGGGCCCTTCCCCTTCCATCTTCCCTCTGAGACCAAACCAAGTGCTTCCAAATTCTTTGGTGCCATTTAGGAGCTATGCCAGATGCTTAAACACATTTAATTACTCTCAGATTAATTCCACGAACACAGGGAGTTGCTGCTTTTTTCATATTTATTTTTGTAAACATGACGGAGCAGTGATGGGGCCGTGGGGCGGGGCTGGTGAGCCCCGTGTGTCAGATCCTGGCCAGAATTAAAGCAATGACCGCTTTCCATTCAGACCGTGTCTCCCCATTTGTGTGGGCCTCATCCTGCCCACCACCGCCGCAGGGGAGCCTTTTCGAAATACGAGTAACGGTTCGTTTTTGTAAATGCTGAATATGACGCGGGACCCTGGCAGTCTGCTGGGTCGGGCTGCTTCCTTGGGCTTTGTGCTTATGCCCAGAGCTGCCCTCACTTGGCATCTGGCACCGTGTGGAGAGGCAGCTCTTTTCTCTCATCCCCCTTTCTCTGGACCATTCGGTGGGGAGCCACACGGTGTAGCCAGGTCAGCCTGGACCTGCCCAGACCACCCTCGCAGTGACCACACGCCTCGTCTACACGTGCCTTGTAGAAAGGCTTGTGTGGTGGGATGGTCATTACTGGCACCTTGCCCCAGGTCGCCCTGGAACCTGGGGAGCCCCAGGCCCGTGAGTGCAGGGCCCGCTCCCCTCAGCAAGATGACGGCCCTGGGTTCCAGTCCCCAACAGCCCTCAGAGCCGTACTTGCTGCGTCCTTGTCATGGACTGGCCACTGTCCTCGTGATTGATGCAAATAACTCATTTAGCCACCCTACCCCCAACCCTGGAGATCAGCTGTGGTTCCCATTTTATTTATTTATTAAAGATTTTTATTGGGGAATTGGGATGGGAACAGTGCTGGGGAATTGGGGGAAGGGGAACAGACAAGTTACTGTCGTTTTGTTCTTCAATCTAGTTGTGGAGAACGTTGCTTCACTGGCCTAAGTTGGCACCATCATTGTGCTCTTCCCGGGCGAGGCAGATCAGTCACCGGCTTCTGAATGGCCGCTCACTGCGGCTGCTGGCCACTCACGCTGGCTGCTGGCCGCTCACGTTGGCTGCTGGCTACACAGGGTAGCCCATGGCAACCCACTGCAACAGGGGCTGCAGCCTACGCTGTCGCCAGCAACTCACGGCAGCCCAGCTCCAGGTTGAACTGTTGTTCAGCATCTTAGCTGTGGAGGGCAGTGTCACTGGCCCTCATATGTGGGATCCGAACCGGGGCCCTCTGGCATCCCAAGCCAGCTCTTAACCA